AGAGACCTTAAGATTTTAATTGATTTAATTTCAATATCACTTTGAAAGATTATTTTTCCCTTTGAATTTCTACCATTTACTGCATTTGAGTTTTGCTAATAGTCTCTCCTCTGTATTGACCTTTGCTCTCAATCACACAACTTATTCCAGTTTCTAAGCTTAATATCCTAACCTGTAAATTTCAACTGAGTGGAGAGCAATTTTTTTTCCTCACTCTCATGACAGCTACTCTGAAAAGCTGGCCCAAGGGCAGACCTCAACAACATTTTTAAAAGCTGGTCAGGACAATCTTTAAACTATTTCTGAACACAAAACCTTTTTTTATTTATTTACTCCTACCTAACATACCAGCGTGATTTCATTGCAAGATTTAGAAAAGGACCACATTTTTCTGACTCTTCTTGAAATCAAGGTAGAAAAAGCCAAGTAGAAGAATTACAACAAATACTGCATCCATGAGTAGATAGAGACTATGAGGTAATGACTTACAGCTTTGGCTGCCAACCAAAAAAGATACACTTAGCAAAGGCTGGAGAAAAACAATGATATTTATCAACCCATTCAAATACACATAATAAAAACAACTTATATTAGTAATTTATGTTATACAATTACTGTTGTCAGGTTGAAATTCCTCATAATTCAATCCAATTTAGTGTGATGGATAGCAGTTAGTTATAGATAATTTGCAATTATGTTTTAAAAGTTAGTAAAATGTTATTGGCAAACCAGCAGTTTGTTCACAGTAGTTACTGGTGCAATCAGGACTTGGAATGGCTTGTAGATTCCCTGTTCTGAAGCCAGAAAGGGATTTAATTACGAAGGAAACCCCAAAGATTGAAGATTCATCCAACTATTGGCCGATAACCTGGCTCTGTACAACATGACTCTTTTAATCACAGTGAATCCTTGCTTGAGCTGGGCAGTTTTTTTTTCAAAACTCCAGACTTGCTTAAAGGAATAGTACACCCAAAACATGATTAGCCTTCATTTTCTACTCACCCCCATGCTGAACAACACTCTGGAGTACTTTTTTGATATCTCAAATGCATCTGGAGATCTGGGAGGCTTCTTGCTGTCTGCTGACATTCAAATAATGGAGGTCTATGGTGCCCGAGGCAGAAAGGTCCATAAAAGTCCACAAAAAACGTGTCAATATTCCTCCATACTGCTCGTCCAATGTATTCCAAGTGTCCTGAGTGGGTAGCGTCCATAATTTACTCGAAACTAAGTCATTTAGAATGTTTTTAGAGCATAAACAGTAGTGTATAGGATTTCCTAAAAGCGCGCGCCTGCGAGTTCACGAGCCTACAGGAACCGCGGCAGACCAAACCTGATGAAAGTGCGCATGGGGGTGAGTAGAAAATGAAGGCTAATCATGTTTTGGGTGTACTATTCCTTTAATCAGCTGTAAATTTAATTTAGGTTATTCAAGTCTCTTTGCATTCTGCCTTTGACTCACTTATTTACACCACATAGTATAGTAATTTCTAAAACCTTTTCGCTCTACAAATAAAATCGTGCTAATAAACAAATGTTATCCCTCCAAGTGTACAGTATGTTTATACATATGTTGTATTTGTTTAGAGTTTGGGGGCTTTTATAAACTTTCTGTTTGGATTTAACATAAAAATACCAAAAATGGGGGGGGGAGTAAATTCAGTGGAGAGAAGGAGTTTTTAGCGCTTAGTAGTGTTCCTGACGTCCTGATCTGCCTCTTATCCGTTGAGTGTGCCTGTTCCCATCTGAACTTTTCTGCTTGAACTCTCTGTGGACTCCTGGAAACCTGAACCAGCCTGTTCCTGTTCTGATCGATATCTCTGACTGGGCTTCGGACTCCTGGACCTCTGAGCTTTCCTGTTCTGATCTGTTTCCCTTACCTGGCTCGGACTCCTGCTTGCCCTCTGGGACTGCAGCATCAGGAACACTCTGGGCGGCGCCCTCCAAATCTAGTTTGCAGTCCGCCGGCTGGATCATACCGCATTCTATCGAGATGGACTGAACTGTTAAAACAGTTAAGTGACTCCGTCAGATTTTTATGGTCACTTACCTGTGTTTTTCTCCAACCAGAGTTTCCAGTGATGGGCGGTTCCCCGCAGCAGCCACTGTAGACCCGCTGCTCTACTTATGCATTTAAATAAATGCTTTGAATTATCCTACTGTCTGTCTCTCCTTGAATACTGGGTCCTTCTGTTCTGCCGCGTGAAAAATTAAGTAAACAACTTTATTGCTGTATCGATAGAGTTGCAGAGTGGCCAATGGCAAAACATTAAAATTAAGCCTGCTGTTGTTTTGTTTCACCATGTTGCAAATGCCTTATCTTCCTCTGCTCATGCTGCAGCCGCAGAGTGGACCTATTCTTGAGCAAGCACTACAGAGCTGCTGGTAGAATGTTAGCTGGGGAGATCCAAAAAAATGTTTTTCCATAGTAAAAGAAGGCTAATGAAAATAAAAAGCTTCTCTGGCACCTACAGATTAACTCAGAGATGCTCAATGCTGTGGCTCCAGCTGCTCAAGGTATTCATCAGCGGAACATTACATGTCATGAGCAATATTAGATGAATTCAAATCTGCTCTTCTACATAGCAGTAAACATTGAGAGATAAAAAAAGGAAGCCCTCCAGGAAAGCAGAGCAACATATTTAAACATTTTTTACTTCTAGCCTACTAAATATGTATTAAAGATGCTTGGGAGCATCCCACTTTCCCACAATGGTGAGTTGATTTCTTTATATTTATTCGACTGTAGCTTTCTCAAATGATATTTGAAAAAATTAAGAAATTGTAAACTGACTATGATTGCTATGAGCAATCCACTTGCACAAAGTTTGCTCGCGGATCTGTTCATGACCAACGTCACCTTAGACGGCCTTTCTGGTGGAGAAAACAGTTGTAAAGCAGTGGAGGTGGTAATCTGGGGTTACATTTAAGGTTGCAGAAAATCTGGAGAACAGACAAAAAAAAACTGATGAAAAGAATGAATGACGGGGAGACAAATAAAAGAAATAAACAGAGAAGGCCATTTAACAAAAATTGGTAGGCAGCAGGTCCAAAATGGTTGCTATATGACCCAGGGGAGAACATCATTTACAGAACTGGCTGTTTTTCTGATTTTCCTGAATTCTCATTCAGGTGTTTTTTCTGTTCTGTGTGAGTGTTTATTGCCATACATAAATGTTGAAACAGGCAGTGTTTCCTATTAGCTTTTTCCAGTTTAGTTCTTATCTTTTATCTTCTTCTTCCTCACAACATTTACAAATACAGTAGTTTTCCAGTTGATGTTAATCGTCATAGTTTCCAAGGAAAACAGTTTAGGGTTACATGCAATTAACTTCTTTAATATTATGTTTTCGCATTTTTTAAACTTCGCATTGATTAATATATGTTATACCATGGCTGTTCATATACTGTAGACCAGAAAATACAAATCTTAAATATATCGATAGGTATTCTAAGAAAAAATTCAAACCTCTACTAAATACAAGAAAGCTTTTAAAGCAATAATAAATGGAATTGATATTGAATCAAATTGAGGCCAAAAGAATTTGAACCTAATTCAATTTTGAGGTCCCTAACAATACCCAGCCCTACATTATTCAGGGAACACTTATGAACCCTTTATGACTATTGCTACTGAGCAGTTAAGTGTGCTTTCAAACTACCAAAGGAAATAATAGTTTATTTCAACCTTCATATAGCTGGTTTTAACATAGACAAAGACTTCCTGAAACCAAGACTCAACCATATAGTTACCACAGCGTTATTTGATTAAACATGATAAGAAGGACCTCAAAAATCATGCTGATACAGAAGACTCTGGTAGATGACTTGTTTTTGTGATTCAAGAGTGAGGATTTGTTCTGATTGTGTTGAAGTGCTCACAAGTATCATCTGCATTAACAAGGTAGTTTTTCCTGTCTGATGTGATGCTCCAATAAAATTATTAGGTTAAGATGCTAGGGATTTTTTTTGCCTTTATATTTTTTTTAATCTGATAAAGCATACATATAAATTAAATCCGATTTAAACTGCAATAGAGAACAATAATGTGATGTGATCCATTTAGTCAGGATTAACAAGTAACCGTTTTCAAGGAAACAACAGGTATTTATTCATACACTAATATGTAAATGTAGGAGATACTCAAGTTAGTCTATAAATGCATAGTTTAATGTCTTTTTTCCTCTGTATGTCTCAAAAACTGGTTGATAAAACAGTATTGCTGAAAACAGCATTTTAAAGTTCAGAACTATTTCCTTGCATGATCAAACGCAGGGAGACGGATGGTAGCTTTGGTTGAGGGTTTTGTCAAAAACATGATCTGCTAACAGTTTTTCTGTACCTTATGTAATTGTGAATGTAACTGTTAATAAATGTAATGGATGATTGAGTCTGATTAATTGTTTTCTTCCTTTCATTGATTTTTTTTTTTTCATTCTTTATTTCTTTATTGCTTGTCACTACACCTCAATAGTTAGGATTTGGACAGTATTTTCTGTAATTTTTATATACTTTAAGGTGTTTCTTCTTTCACTGAATAAGAGTCATGGGTTTTGTTCTACCCCTTAGGGTAAACCTTCTTCTAAATGCCTAACATTTTTGCAAATGTCACTTCACTAAGCTACATCAGTATTCGTATCCCTCTACTTAACCTTTTTAACATGTTAGAGTTCGATGGAGACTCATTATTTTTATTATTTTTTTTAATATATTTTTTTGTAGATAAGATAGATAGCAAATAAAATATGTTACTCTCACATTTTATCTTATTTTCATACTATTTATGGTTATTTTGCAGCTCTTTTACATTCCTACTCATCTAATTGTTGGCACGTTCTTTGTCCTTTTCAGAACAATAGTGAAACAATAAAGCCAACACCTGGCAATATTGTTTTAGTGCCAAGATGATATACACGATCTGACTTGTGTAGAAAAGACACTTCAAAATGAGGGGAGTTGTTGAACATTTCCTAATTGATGTGTTCTGTGTTCTTTGACAGATGCCATGTTGGCAGTAGCAGACAGACTGGTGGGTCCTGTGAACATTGAAGCAGTAATAGAGCCAATCGATATTAAAATCTCAGAGGCTATAATGACGATGCAGGACAACAGCATGCAGGTATCAGCAAAGGTACTGTATCCTGAGAACCTTGCATTAGGTTCATAATAAGCCTATATTATATTTAAAGGTTTTCTTTAATGTTTAATGACCTCAGTCAATATACTACTTTATTTAGACTGTTTCAGGTTGCGGGAGAAAAAAAACAATGTTTTTTTTTTCATTGTGCTTTTTGAAGTTCATGTTGACAATTATTCGTTATAAACTCTTAATTAGTTGCAATAAGATATGACAAACTATTCCACTTAACTACCATGTGATATTATTGTATGAAATCTGGTTCACCTTTAAAATGTGTAATTATTGAAAAAAAAACACTTTAAACATGCAGTTTTATCAGTTGTCATTTACTTCAGTGCATCTTGAGATTATGCTTCACAAACCAATTGTATGAGATTTTAAGTTTGAAAGTGTAATTTTGCTCAGAGTTCTCTAAACATACCAGACTGTATACAAATATGATTAAGCCACTGCTTTGTACCCGATCCTTAAGAGAAAATTGTTTCTGTATGTGAGCACAACACACAGAATGACAAACAGAGGGACAGACGGACAGAGGGACGGGCAGAAAGTATATTCTCACTCCCAACTCATCAACATATTGACGCTTGGTCAAAGTCCCCTGTGCGTCACTCGCTTACGCACTGGGTAAATACGGGTGTTTTGGAGTTCTGGCAATGGGTATACTTCCTTAAAAGTTGTCTTTCAGTTTTGTCTTTCAACCTTCACCTGCATGGTGGAAATTGTTCACTGTGACATCTCTTAACATTACCTTTGCCAAGCAAGGAAAACTAATGCTTTGCTGTATACCAGCTAATTTGTTTCTGTGACGGTAACAGAAACATAGCACAGTAAATGTTACTGAATAACAATAACTGGGCTGTAGTTGTGTGGAAAATTTTCACACAACATACATTATTTTCTATATTCTGGTGATTTTCAGACAATTTAAGTTAAGAATTATGGGTCATACCGAAAAACTTGCATCTTAAATAAACTGTAAACTAAGTATTTCACAACTTTGTTTATTAATAAATCTATACAGTTCAAGTAAAACAACCAATGGGGAACATCGTTTATTACTGGATTACTGGCATTAATACAGGAACCAGTGCAATCCCGTGCAATCTACACTGTGAATATGTACTATTCGGCTAAGGATTAAAATCTAAAATAAATTGCTTATTAGATTTTTTTTCGGTTGGCAAAACAGCTAAACCATTCAGACCTTCTAGGAGGCTGTAGATTCTATAAAAACTCACCATGACACAAGACAACATTTCTCTGGATGTTTAATTTTGGTAAATGTGATGGAAATTAAGTTTTTAAACATATTCAATGGACCAAAATAAAGATAAATTAATAATATAAATAATAATGCAATCAGTCCTGGATAACTGAGTTGTTCTGCTCATCCTCTCTGTGTCTTATGTGGTACTCTTTTCTTGGGTGGCTGATCTTTTGAAAAATAAAATGCAATGGTTCTTTTTCTTTTTTGTGGAGCTCCTATAGGTTTGTGAAGCATACCTGGAAACTTTAAGAATTTAGATATTTGTGTTGGTTTAGTTAATCCTAAAATCCAAAGGGGAATTGTTAAACTAGACTGAGCAATAATCATCTTACTTGTGAGAAAACATGAACTAAAACTGAGACTAAATCAGGTTCCTAAACTAGAGCAAACAAGTTGTAAAGCTCTCAAAAAAAGCACCAGATGTAGAGAAAACAAACCATTTGATGTCAATTTGATGTGATCCTACACTTAGTTTCCTCATTGATAATTTAAGCTAGCTGCTGTATATTTCATTCATATTTACTCAAGTGCTACATTGCTTCAAATCTTCATTAATTTACAAAGTAAAGTATCTTAGTCCAGATAAGATCAAATTCATGTGACATACGTCGTATTGACTGCTCAGAAAATCCCAGTGTTTTTTAATATCTGGCACGGGTCATTCAGTTCTGTTGCTGTCAGCACAGTGAATAGTAGGTGGGCTGGTGCAAAAATACTGGAATTAACCTGGCATGTACTCCTGCGTCATCACCAAGGTTGTGTAGAAAACGCAGACTGGATTTTTATCAGCATGATTTTTTTTATTAATAAATAAGGCAAGTTGAGTTCAGTTTTAATATCTGTCCTTTTTTACCATAAAAAATTAGGAATATGGAGTGTGAGCTTGACAGTGAGATGTAGGAGTCTCACGCCCAATATGTGAGCCTGTAGTAGCTGTTGTTATCTCTAAACCCCCAAAAATCTTGGGAGAATATTTGACTTGTTCTTGTTGAAAGTAGTATCTTTGCATTTATGTACCATTATATTAGTTTAGCAATGTGGCAGAAAAATTTTTTTTCACGTTTTTGATTTAGCAGTTTTGTAGTTTTCATGTTTGTTTCAGCCTGTTTTCTCTTTTTTATTTTGCTGGCATTCTCTCTACGGTAACTGTTTTTTTCTTTGCTCTATATCAGGTTTTTCAAGAGTGTGGTCAACCAAAGCCTTCTTCAATTGGCAGGTCTGCGCGGGGCATCTCAGATTCATTTGGTAGTCGCTACAGACCCTTTACCCCGGAACAGAGACCTACGACTGCAGCTGGAACAAGCTTGGATAGACTGGTACGCAGAAAGACAAGATAGAACTTTTAAAATGATAAACGGTGGATTTAAACATTTTCTGTCCAATTTAATGACGTAATAATACTCTAATGCCTAAAAGAATAAAATAATAGAAATCCTTAGTAGTTTCATGATTATAAAGACTCAGTCATATACTTTGTATAAAGGCCAGAGTATTTAACCTATAAACTGCCAAAAACGACTGCAAAAAATTCAGTTTTCAGAGCTCAAGAGAGTTTCTCTTTTATATATATATATATTTTTTTTTTTTTTTTTTATTATTTTATATCATTGGCAAAGACATACTTCTTGCTGTGCTTAAGGTCTACTATCTGGAATGTAAGTCCAAAGGCCAGAAAAAATAGCGGGGTGTTCAAGTAGATCACTAAGCTCCTAAGGGCCGTTGTAACTTCCACCAATGATTATCGAAAAAGGAATTTTATACACATTCCAGCACAAAAAATAACAGAAGTGTACACTGGTGATTCAATAATTGAATATGTTTCTAATTCTAAAGACAGGGAATGCCTCTACCTAGAATTTCCATTGTTACGTTTCATTCAGAAAACGTAAGATATTCCATTAAATGTGGTGAAAAATCTGAAACACGAATTACAACTCAGATAATGGTTTGCATGGTGTCACATTTTAGATTTAAGGGTAGATTGTTTATATGTTTCGACTCTGCAATGAAACCAAATATCTTAAAAAGAGCAGTAACTTGCAAATGCAAGCATTGTCTTAACAGAATTTTGAAAGGATTTTAATTCAGTTCACTGAAAGTGATTTAAGCCATGCATCTTATTTTATGCAATGAATTCGGACCATCAATGAATGCTTTTTTACATCAACACCTATCTTAACTGGGAAATCCAACAATTAAAGGCATTATAGTCCCTGCAACCAAAAGGTACAGTTGATAATATAGTCAGGGATTTAAATGGATAATATTCAGGATCACAGAAGTGATTAAATGCTGCAGAGATTACTGTGAGAGTCTTTAACAGAACTCTATTAAGCTCCAAGGAATAAAAACATGGCATATACACAAAAATGTGAGATCTGTGAGCATATTAATTTAAAATATTCATATAACTATATACATCTCCATCTTAAAAACCAAGTCCTCTTACAGTATTTGGTTTAAGACATAAACATCAAAAAGCAGGTATAGGGTAAATTCCAGCAGTCCCTCTCATTTTAATAATGCATTACTCCACGCTCTTACAGTGTATACTTCCCCATGTCAAAGATTTAAGATACTCTCTGTAAGCTACTGGTTTGCCCCGTGTAATACTTTTCTAATATGATAAGGTGTCCTGTGTAAATGTCAAAGAGATTAATATATATTCATTTGACAGGTAAAGCACTGATGCGCTGTTTCTAGCATACACCTATATGTGATATAAGTTTGTAAATTTTGCATAGCTCTCTCACTGAAACATGAAAAACTTTAGACAAATGTTCCACATCAGGTTGAGATTTGTATGCAGGTTATGATTTGTGCATTGATCTAAAAGTAGAAGATTTTGAGAGTTTACATTGCCTCACTGGAAGTCATTGCGAATCAAATAGTTTGAGATGCTAAATCTCACAGGCCGGACAAATAGGATATTTCCTCAGCACCATTTATCATTTAACTTTTTGCTTTGCTTACTAATAGACATTCTTTTGCTCCAATTCACTGTCTCAGTCTCTCTGTTTCTCCAATGTCCAATTAAATCTCTTTCTTCTTCATTTCTCTGCTGCTCCCAGAGGGCTGTTTGGAAGACAATGCAACACAGTGTAAGCTTTCCATTCCTCTACTTGATTTCACAGAGTCATCACTCTTGTGTTTTAATCAACCTGCCCAGTGCACTTCACCTCCTTATGTTTAGTATTGGTGGTAGTAATTTCTTCTTCTTCTTTTTTATTCTATTTGCTTATAATTAATTTGTATTTTTCATTCTGTGCTTGATAACTCCAATACACTGACTTAAGGTCTGGTGTCCAGGGGTTTGTAAGATACCTAATGCAACAGGGTACATTTTCATCTGTGTCAATATTTGTTGTAAGCGTGTTGAAGGATTCCATTTAGGTTTTAGATAGTGCTGCCATACCTCTCCTGCAAGCTGAATTCTCATGGTATTTGTGCATGAGAATCCATATTTCTGTGTAACCAAAGGGTTGTCAGTTCAAACCCCAGGGCTCTGGCTTTCAGTGATGTCGTGTCCATGGGCAAGGCTCTTTAGTAGGTGTACACACTGGTGTACACAGGCGCCACCTGTGTATACCAGCCTTGCTTCTGTCCGTAAGCCCCTGGGCAGCTGTGGCTATGATGTAGCTCCACCATCAGTGCAATGCATTAATGATTGAATGTAGTGACCTGTAATGACCTGAAAAAAGCACTATATACAGTAAGTACAGGCCATTTAGCACGGTTCCTTTCATCTTCATATAAAAAAGACAAAGCTTTAAAATAGTTTTTATTATGCTAATAATCTATTTGCTCGCATTTAATAATCTGTAAAATATTATTATTTTGGTTTTGTTTTAAGTTTTGAAAACCTTCTTACCAAATGTTTAATTTCTATAGCCATATATAAACGAAAGCCTGGCTTCTGAAAGGTTTTCCTCTGTTTTTCAATGAAAACGACATGGCTGAGGTCAGTGAAGTAAAGGACAGAGCGAGACAGGACGGCAAGAAGCAACTGTGCTCCACTTCTCAAACAGTGGGGATCTGATGGACCTAGGGACCCCAGTGCAATTGTTCCACCTTCCCCATCAAATATGAAAATATATGTCCAACATGTTGGCTTGAAGAGATAACAGGCAATGGGAAAGATGTTCCTCCTATTCAATAGCGAGGTGAAGCGTTTTCCCCAATGGCAAAGAGAATTACTGCCGAAATGTCAATTAAGCAACAGCACACAAATGCCTACTAACGTTCATTAAGATACTACTTATCTATCCATTGGAAGAGAATGAAGAGGCATGGTAGAATCGCAGCCCTAATTCTCATAGTACATTATTTGTCTAACAGAGATGCTTCTGAGATTTACTTACTTTAGTGGGAAAAGAGCTTTTTAGGGATGCTTTTATTATCCTTTTTTAAGTACTTCTACACTCCATGTCAATTTTATCACTTCACACATAGACATTAAATAACAATGTGTAATACAGAACGTTGGTGAGGAATACTTTAAAATATAGATTAAGAAAAGTGTAGTTGAACCAGCTACCTTGTAAATGGTTAATCACTGCTTATGCTCCTTTGCTACAGTACTTGGTAGTAAAAAAAAAGTACTTTTCTTTTTTTTTTTAAGTATGTTTTGAAATGATTTCCAAAACATCAGAAAAGTGTATTTGCATTAATATTTGTTGAATTTGATCTGCCAATAATAAGCAGAGGTTTTTGATTTTAAAACAATAACCAATGTTACAATTACAATCATGGACACTTTTTATAACTAAAAATTATTACATGACCCTTAATTTTCTTTAACTTATTCTTGTAAAGGTATATTGTCTGAACAATCGAAGGAACATAAGGGTTATCTAATGTTTTTCCTCAACTGCATTGTTTCTCTCTTCTTTACTTAAATGCTCACTGAAAAGAATTGTGAGATATCTTTGATATGATAGATTTATTTGTCCTTGTTAATGGATTTTGATTGCTAAGCACAGTTGAAATGGGGATGCAGTTTAAAAGAAAGCCAAGCCTTTTCCCATTCTACACTAATTTTGTTTTTGCAAAGAGCCAGCACCAGGAAATGATCTAGTAAAACAAACTCTGCAGCTTTGTTGTTGCGCAGCAAAAATTGTAGAATCTATGAGTTATGCCACAAAACGGATCCTATTACAGCTTTAATGGAACTGAAGCATATAATTCAATATTTTGTGTGTGTTTTTTATTCGTTTTAATGGTTTCAGCAGCAGATAAGCATGAAAAAAAGAACAATGTTGAGAACAGTTAATCACAGTGACAAGCTAATTTCCTACTTGGCATTTTTAGCAGCAGCAACATCAACAAGGGGGCATCCTTACTGTTGTGATTTCTTACACAATTTTCTTAATTGTTGTAAGGCTTATTTGCTTCTTAAGAAGAACTCAATACTGCTCTTTGAAATGAATCAAATATTTTTTACATTCCAGGGTTTATTATAATCTTTCTTTTACTCATTTCTAAAGTGATTGAACTCTGATTTCAAGTTTAAAATTCTATGTGATACAAGTATTCCTAAATTCTTAAACAAAAATGAAACCCTATAAATAAAAATGTGTGTCTTTCATCATTAGCACATTGGGTGTACTGTTTAATTTAGTATATGTTTGGAAATGTACATATTAAAATAAAGCAGATGGTATAATCTCAATAGTACAAAACCACTTGCATAGAATAGAGTAACATTCGCCTGGTACTTTTCCTCATTAAGTAGTTCACCACTGGGAAAAAACTGGTACTCAAGAAGTTATAAATGTATTTTTTTAAAGCTTTGCTGTTATATTTCTATGCACCTACCTGCAGAATTCACAATATCACAATGATATCAACTAGACTCAAGTTTTCATATCTTTGGCAGTTTTCATATATTCTTTTAGTCACAAAAAAAACCTTGTATTTTTAGAGTAATTTCTGTCGGCTCAAACATTTATAGGTCAAAATATCTTCAGACTGTGCGTGAGTGCGGTCGTCTTCAATTTAGGCCTGTTTTGTGGTTAACATGACCCAGAAGGCTGAGAATTTACTATGTTGTTGTTTTCTAATTACAGATGTAGTTATTTATCTGCAAATCAAGTTTTATTATAAAGTAATTAAAAAGAACAAAGCAAATTTTTAAATCAAATGTATATGCGCTGCATTAAAAGTATGATATAGCCACTTTTCATTAGCTTAAGGCTTATAGTGTTTACTTGGAAATAAAAAAAACAACATTCAGAAAATAGATAAGATATAAAACAAAAGACTTTAAAAAACATTAACAAGTAAGCAATCCAACCTAAGATTCAATAAGCTCAGTTTGGTTTTCTTCAGAAAAATATATTTCTTCTCTGTATTAGGCCTTGCCTCAACAAACCGTTGCCACTTATGCCATATTATATTATTATTTAATTTACCCAGCGCACTGCTCTGGGTACAATAATGCACTGCACCTTGGGCACCAAGTACCAGTGGAACCACTAGGAAAAATTGGGTTTGTAAAACATCATGGTTGTTGTAACAAATCATAAAAGTTATATATTTCAAATAGAAATCTGTAAAATATATTCTTAGATTTAAGCAATGATCAGGAAAACAAAGGACCTCGCTCTATTTTCTCATATTGGGTCCACCTCCATGAGCCTAGAATGCATTAAGTAGTGAAAAAAGCTGCCCTACAGGGATAATACTTTTAAAAAGTAAGGAGTTTAGGAATTCAAAACAGATTTCAAAATGGAATGCTAAAAGAAACATTGTGAAAAGGGCTGTCAAAGTCACTGTATAAATCCAGATTAATGCAACTTCTTTTTAACAGCATTATCTTTTTAAAAGGGTGCACTTCCGTACATTTTGGACTCAATCTACACTATTACCGTATCATCATTTTGTTTTCTGCTTCAGCTATTTCTGCCATCTGTTTAAAATTCACTCTGTCTCACCTTTTATCTGAAAATATCATACAGTCATTTTGCAGCATCAGGTTCCCTACTAGATGCACTAATACTACAGTAGCTTGCAGAGTTTCTGTCTCGGACTGTTCCGAGTGCTGCTGTCATTTATCGACTATGCTGAGGCTCATTTGAGTCATTTGGAGACAAGTTACCATCATAATAAATAATGTCCTCTGCCTTTCCTCACTCATGCCATGTGAATATATGACAAAGCGATGTTTCTTATGATACAGTTTTCTTAAAGAAATCAAAGACAAGCTGTAAACTGGAGAGATCAGGGCGGGAATACAGGCAGAAGTGCCAGTATGTGCCACACGCTAGAAGAAAATCAGGTACACAAATACAGGCCCACAAAAAGTGGTCCGACTGAACAAGTTTTTTACTTTCAACCAGTAGTTAAACCCAGCAGTCGATTTAACAGGATGTGTTCAAAATCAGGCCTCTTATCGAGGAGACAGGGAAGAGAAACTACCTGTCGGCTGACAGATGCTGAGGCATGCTGGTGCCTGTTGATATGAAGTGAAATGTTGTTAAATTTAGCAGATATCCAAGCGATATATCTTAAAAGTTAATATTTGGCTCACAGAAAGCATCATATATATATACAGTTATAATTAGCAAGAGCATTTACACTGCCTTTGAATGGAGGAGCAGGGATAGTGGCAAGCTGAAGCAATTCCAGCAAAATGTGAGATATATTGAATGGTTTTTAAGGTCAATATGCAGAATTCAGCATATATCAATGCTTTGCTGGCTACTCTTCTAAAATACATGTTAATGTGACTTAAGAAGGTCAGATCTGTCACAAAGTCATGCAAAAGTTGCCATTAGGCAAAACAAACGGATAGATATCTATTCAGACATATATTGGTTCTCAGATTTAGGATTTAATCTACAGACATGAATTTAGCTTTCTCTTTACAAGTAACTCCATGACATCTCAATCTGCTGGTCCAAAGTAGTCTAGATTCCAAAACACTGAGGGAGACCGTTTTTTGTTTTGTTTTTTTTTTGTCCTGTGTTATATTTGTGTGTGAGTGTAGCGTTGCCTGGTGTTGCTTTCAGGGGCACTAAGCCTGAATGTTAGCACAACTAGTCGTTAAAAGTTACACTTTGTTGCTTTAAAGATGTGGCTATATTAATAGAAGTACTGC